GACCTTGACACTAGAGACCCCTTACTCCATGAAAAATACACGGCCATTAATGGTATCCACCTACCAAATATGGAGGATATCATTAAATAAATTTTTAAGATAAATCCAACTTACCGGAATAGGTTAACCATACAAGATCCTATTTTCAAAGTAAAAAAAAGGAATATAACTTAGGAAAATGGATGGCAAAATCATGAACTTTTTATAAATAAGTAAGTGTGGAAATTATGAAGCCATAAGTATTCACAGTACTTAAATAAATCCAACTGCCGGTTTAGGTTAACGATATTCATTCTCAAACTGCTGAAAATGACAATAACTTGATTAAAATTTATGCAATAATTATGTTACTTGCCAGGATCAAGTATATTGTATTGATTCATAAATGTGTAAATTATGAAGCCATTTGTAACGAGTAGATTTTAGGAAAAAATCCAACTTGCCGTTTTATTATTTTGATCGTTCCATTTTTTATAACATGACACCAATTTTAGGGCTGCCAGGCTCCTAGGACTGCCAGCTTTAGGCTATTAGACTACAAAGTTAAGTGCCCTAAAGTAAAGGCGTTTTTTTTCCCATAATCATTGCATGTGTATGTGCTTTTGCATGACCTTTCATAGTGATTTTACCTGTATTTTAAATTGTTTCCATATTTATAATATAAGTCACTAACTTTAAACTACTTAGGGGCTGCCGACTCTAAGCTGTTGGATTGCCAAACTTCAGGTTGCAAAGCTGACATCGATAGGCTGTTAGGATGTTAGGCGGCCTCCTCAGAATTACTAGGCTGCCAACGTAAGGCTAACAGGGCGTTAGGCAAACTCCTAAGGCCAGGGCGTCAGCAATTTAGGCTTCCTCTTCCAACAGCGAGACCAATTTGCCTCCTCAGTCAACTAGGGCCATCAGACTGCCACCTCAGGCAGCCCTGTCTCTTCTTCCATTTTACAGACACAATTGTACTAAAACTCTAATTACAGAACAATGTCAATTTTGCAGTTTTATCAAATAGTAGACAATTGTATAATTATCAATATGTACTTGCATAGATCAGCTAAAAATCGAACGCAAAACAAATATACATTTATTTTTACAAGATGAGTATCATCGCCGCCTAAATTGTAGCGCAGTTCCATATATAATAAATTCACTCGCTTTCAAATTGAGTAGGCAGATTAAATTAATATGATACAACAATAAAACTTGAGTTCAACATAAAATTACATCTTGCGACATTTAACGGTAGTGTTGCGACATTTAACGGTAAGGGAAATTCGTGCGACATTAAACGTTAACATTGCGACATTTAACGTCAAATGGTTTTGCAACATTTAGCGGCAAGTGCGACATTTAGCGGCGTTGCGACATATAACGGCGCCACAATGATCACCTGGCCAGCGGCCGTTAACTATTCGCTGATTGGTTGCTTTACAGAGATCAAGTAAATAATCACCGAACCGATTTGACGTAGTATCTCGAGAAATGCGAGGCATGGGATTATCAATAGTTATTAAGTCACCAGTACTGATATTTCTGTCAAACTGAATAAAATCAGCTTTACAACCAGTTCTACTATTAAGATCGCCTACTACAAATATTTTGCCTAGCAAATTATAGTCCATAATATCTTGTTCAAGTTGTGAAAAACTATCAATATTGTAAACGTTATGTACAGGGGAAGCATTTCAGGTGCGATGTATGTAAAAAAATATATATATATCATCTCTAATATTGAAAATGTTTTATCTATTTTTTTAACCAAATAATCAGTCTATAGAATTTTAACATTTTTATTCTTGCTATAGTGTCTTTAATATTATACCACAAGTCGCCCGCTTGACGCTTACCTACGGTGTTAAATTTGCCGATATGAATGAATTGGGTTTGAATAGCCTTTAGTTCAATATTTGACGATTTGTTTGTCCATGTCTCATTAGACGATGATATATCATTTTTACATAATATGTTAAAAATCCTTGCATTTTTTTTCCACAGTAAGTCCTTCTACGTTCACGATATATATTTTAAAATCCCAACTTGGTTCTAGCATGATTCTCTATAAAGCTGATTGTTAATGTAAAGTTTGTCCATCTTAAGGTATGCTTCCATTTCCATCCTCGGCGGGCCTGTTACATGATAGGGATTAACTTCCGGCGTTGATCTACTATTTCTTTCGGATACTGTTCTGATATGCCATAGATAGATCCCTTCAGCTCCTTAGCAGCTCGTCGCACCCGCTCACGATCGGGGAAGTCCGTGATACATGCATTAACATAATTGATATAACTAGGCTCATATATTAAACAAGGGGGGGGGGGTAGGCATTGGCCCCAAAGCGCTCATCTGACATGTCTGATGTCAGACAGTTTTTTGTGTAATGGTAAATTTTGAGTCTATGACATCTCGACCCCTTGACACCCCGACCTCTAAGACATCTCGACCCATGACACTTAGACCCCTAAGACACTTAGACCCCTTAAATTGACCGGACATTTCGACCCCTTATTCTATAATGTTCTTGAAGACGTTCACATCGAAAACATAATGATAAAGACGTAAATATTAAAAAAAAGATTAATTTGTTCCAGTACTTGAATACTCTTGAACCACCCTTAGGATATATGACATGCTTTTTGAATTTGTCTTCTGATGTTATATCCATGGAAATGCAGGCTTCATAACCTGTAACCCACTTTCAAAATTCCACTTTATTTAGTTCTCGTTAAGGGCAAACGCATTGTTTTCTTGGAGATCATATGCCGCTTTTCATGGAATGGCATCAACGTGTCACATTGAAGGTTCCACATGAACACATCTGCGGATGTTTCAAAATTCCAAATTTTACCAGTTTATGTTCAATGTTGATTACTGCTTAAGCCGGTGCTAGGGGACATTGACGGTAACTTGCACTTACCAGTACCGTCCATGAACAGGCTCAATCAGACCGAGCCTGCATCATTTTCAATTTGGCCGTGTCTGGCTTTCTCTCTTTTATATAACTACCACTCAAGCTTTACTATTGTTTAGCATAAATAATTATATTTGATCCTTGATCTCATTATTGTTGTCATTTTAAAATGTCATTTATTTGTTTAAACATGACCCGGAGTTGGAAAGAAAAGATATTCCAACTATAAACTTTTCTTATTTTTATAAAATATTCTATTCTAATTTGTCTTCTACCATGCATAAATTAATGAAACTTTCTCCAAAGACCGAAAAATCCTACATTTCAATGCAGTTTTTTTTACAGTATTTTGCCATGGCAAACTTTATGTAATTGCCATGGCAAATTTGCCATGGCAAATGTAGGACAAAAAAAGTCCCATGGGAAATGCAATCTTTGAATGCATTTTTATAAAAGAAGTAGTAAAGATAGGAAAACAAAACATATTAACTTTTAAACGTTTTAGTAAATGTAACACAATTTAAGATAGTTTTCATTTTTGTTAAGAAAAAAAGGATTGAATTTGCCAAAATTCCGCGTGGCAAAAAGAAACCGGCAGCTATTTTTCAATCTTATATATAAAACAAATATTTTTTCTTTTTATTTCCTGCTTTTTAAGGGATTTTTTTACTGATTTTGTCGCGTAAGGTCGCGAATTTCCTTAAAGAGTATCGCATATGACGTCACTAATATTTTAAAAATAAAGAAATTGTTAATTTTCAAATTTTGTTACTTTTTTTAATATGTTTGATAAAATCGATTTTTTAAAAAAGAAAAAATTTACGTAAACAGCATTTTATTTCCTGTTTTCCCCATTTGTTTTTATTTTTTTTAAAACCCATTCAGTTATTTTAGTCGGCTAAGTAAAAATTTAAATTTTTATAATTTCCTATTTTTTTCAGAATTATATTATATTTAAAATAAAACACTGGAAAAGAAATAAAATTTTTTGATTTAAAGAAAAATATAGATTGTATATAATTGTATTATCTGAGAATAAATCTTTATCCCCCTAATACCAGTTCATAAAAGCTTCAGGGCTTTACGGATCGGTTGTTGACGCTCGCGGTCTGACCAACTCTCTTTGCATTAACGTTGATTTTCTTTGAGAAACTTCACGTTAAACGTGTTACATGCTTGCAATTAATTAAGAAAACAACAAGAAAAAATGAATTGAAACTTTATATTAACGTTAAAGTAAAACATAGGTTATTATCCAAACGATTATATGATATCTTATATTTTAAGTTGTTGAGTAAAAAATATATATCTATCTAAGAAGTCTCAAACGCTTGCCCATCGTACACAAAAATGTTTAATGAACTCTCATCGCACACGGGAAACACAGTAATTTAAAGAAACACTCAAAACAAAAAGAGTTACACTGTTCAGTTAAATGATAACGGCGGAAACCTCAACAATAATCAAAGTCATCCAGGCTGTAAGACTTGAACCATCAGCTGTTAAAGAAAGAAAAACTATATATTGAAGACGGTATCAAACGACTTCTTTTATACTCGTAGACTAATACAGACGGGGTATGGCAAAATGATTTTTCATGCCTTATTTAATAATGTATTTGTCTCAATGAGTGAATGTGAAAATATCCTTGTTTAATTAACAATATTTTTATCTTAAATCTCTAGTACGATTAATAAGATAAAGATATTATATCCAAAAGAAAAAACAACAACTGTAAATTCAGTTATAATAACAGTGGAAATATTCAATGCTTCCTTAAACATACGGATTCGATTCGTAAAAATAAATTTGTATTCGGGTCGGATTATTACAATAGGTTGTATTCTTGTAATTGTATGATCAGTCAATACTTCAACGACATAAATTAATTAACTTTAGCAAACGATCTTCACTTGATCTATAGGAAGAGAAATTGTTATAAGCATTCAAAAAGATGCAAACGATACCATGTTACCCTCTATCCGTGATGACTTATGTATCTTATTGTCACGATTCACAATTGATGGTTTGTTACGTTATAAACAAAAGGTAAAGTTACATCTCGTATAATACTCACATGATTCTCTAAATGGTGCTACTGGAATAGATGTACAGATCTCGGTATTCAATTGTTTTGCACAACAGAAAGCCACCTCTTCATCTTTGACATTGTATACGTTAATGTCGAGAGATTGCGATATACTTTTACCATTATACTCCGAGTCAGCAATGATTGGCTGATAATTACTTGTGATAATAGAGTTAGTTGAGGCTACATCTTCATTCCCCTTATACCAATTTAACATAGCTACAGGGTTTGACGAATCGGTTGTGCAGTTTAGGGTTAAGGTTTTATCATCTTTACTTGCAGTAATGTTGACATATGTTGGTGGAACTGAATGAAAAAAATGTTACATCTTTTCATATTATTGCATTATTTAGTGTCACATTATAAATACTATTTAAGTTGTGCTTAAATATTAACTTGGCTTATAATAAAATTTAGATACCTTTACATCATTTAAAATCAACGCAAACAACAACAACAGTAACAAAACACAACCACAAAAAAATAAGTTTTTACAACAATTGACTTACAGTAAAACATATTTTTTGGAGTAAGTGTTAAGATGTTCCCAAGGTTTTTGTAATGGAATTTGCATTGGTTTTCTTCGCGACCGTTACTTTCTTTTGTTATTCCTATTGTTGTTACAACGCCACACAATGTTCGATTTTCACGAGTTAGATCCTATGTAAAGCAATAAAAATGTAAACAATGACAAAATGCTTTATAAACCTGCGACGAAATGTTTTCAATACCAATGAATGAATATCAAATCCAGCTAGCGCTTACAAATTTCAAAGCCTGAAAGTTCGAGGAAAATTTGGGGCGTCATGGATTTCAGTTACATAAAAATAGTTAAAGCTAGTTTTGAGCTCACTGGTTAAAGGTAACGTATGCCAGGGGCAATAGTTTCAATGGAATACTATTCGAGATAATAATAATTGCACTACGGTCTAAGTAACAGAAAGAGCATCGAAACACGAGGCTATCTGATTTGTACGAGGCTATCAGATTGCCGAGTGTTTTGATGTTTTTTCTCATTTGTATCATAGACAAAAATGAAAACAAGTTCCCTGTTGTCACATTATGAAACCCCAGAAAAAAGTCAAAAGTAGCCCAAGAACAATCATTTGGATATGATATTTCTGTCACTATTCCGTTCTCTGTTGTTACAATAAGTAAACCCCAAGACAATGAGCCAATCAATAGGCATGTTTCCAGTTAATGTGCATGTATATGTATACGATTTAACTCTGACACATTTTCAATAGAAAGGTTCCCAGACTATGATACAAATGGGTTGTTGTATCATAGTTTGAGGACCTTTCTGTTGCCCATTGATCGGCTCATTTTTGCTGTGGTTTACTTATTGTGACGGCAGAGAAAGAGAAAGCGATAGAAATATTATACTCAAATGCTCGCACTTTGGTTACTTTTTTCTGGGGTTTCATATAGTGACAACATGGATTATGTTTTTTTATGTTTAACTATGATACAAAAGAGAAAGAACATCAAAACACTCGGCAATCTGATAAATATTCGGGGGATACGCACTCTCGTCCAAATCAGACAGCTTCGTGTTTCGATGCTCTTTCTTTCACTTAAAGTAGCTAATTTCATGGCAGCTATAAGATCTCTGCAATATTCTTCCGTGGTATTAATACAGTCAGTTAATCTAATATGAGATGTGACTTTTTTAAAGATAATTTAGACCCCGTTTTGAATAAGTCCATTTGTCAGTTCAATTAAAACATAGCAAAAATAATTTTAAAAAATGCCTTTACGTTCTGTGCAAAACCCATTTATTGTTGTCAATCGCATCTTCTCGGTCCTCTGCGTTTAACTGCAGATAAGGACATTCAACACAATGGTATAAATAAAAAGAACAGCCTAACCTCAGCTCAAACTAATCATGTAGACAAAAGTGTATTTAATTCTAGGATTATTTAGGCATTTTATATGCATGATATCGTGTACAAGTCCCTTTTATAGGCATACGAGTAAAATAAATTATTTTGATATGAACTATTAACAATCCAACTGTACTAACTCCGGGAGTATTATGAATAATAGTCGAGTTGTTCCGATTGTCATTATTGCATATAAATTTATATCAATAGCTCGATGCTAGAATATAACTGTTTAGGATATGAAAGTTGGGACACAAATGTTATGAAAATAAGACTTTGACAAACATACCAAAGTTCCATGGATATAATTGTCACTGTAATTTAATTCAAATCATATCCTACATTTAGGAGTAATGCCAAAGGAACGGAACTTACTGGTTCACAAGGATATGTCTTATTGAAAACAATGTCAGGTGTGTGATAGGAATAAGTAACAAAAAATATTTGACAAGGTGGGTTACAATGGCAAATACAAGTAAGCACCGCCGTTGTATTCTCTGTTGAAGCTGCAGATAAATTCGCCACGGGTAAATAATCTGTGAAAAGAGTAAAAGTTCGAAATGTTATAATTTTTCCCTACGAGAAATATGATACGACTTATGAAAATGTGAATCTATAAACATAAGAGCAAGAGTTTGGTTATCATTTAGAAATTGCACTCATACGGGATTTCTATCTGTTATCAAAACAACATGAAGTAGCTTATAATAAAATATAAGCATTGATGTCCTTTCTATAAAGATACTGTCAGCAAATGTTTCTCTTGTAAACCAATTGGAACGGTCATAATTCCACCTTAATAAGTAGTATTGTAACTGGAGAATTTTTACACATTTAAGAAGTTGATTTAATCATTTACCATACTGTTGAAATCAATTTGATGCGTTGTCGTACCCAGATTGACACTCAATAGCATACTTACAACCGCATGCATGTTACTTGCATATCACCACATAAAATATAATAAAAATTGTGTACGTACATTGAACATCAAGTTCTGTTGTCTGACTGTTACCCTTATCATCTGAACATGTATAATTGCCATCATGTTTCAGCAATACCTCCACGATAATGAGCTTTCCTATAAACAACTTTATGCCCACTTCATTTACTGTTTCTCCGGTAACAAGAGGGTTCGCCAGTCCACTAGGTCCAGTCCATGTTGGATATTGCACGTTTAAATCGCATGGAAGGGAAGCCGATGACCCTTCATTTCTTTCTACCAAAGCAGCTTGTGCGATACCTAAAATGATCATGGTATCAATTGAAAATATAAGATTTGCTAAGGAGCTTAGCTGATACTTTACTATTTAAAAACTTTTTATAAAGATTAAAGAATAAAAAAGGGACAATAAAATAAAGATGTACTGTCCTCGAATTTCAAGTAAAAAATAAAGAAGTGAATAGAATTAAATACAACTTTTTTTTATAATACCTATGACCCAATTTCTATTCTCCTATTATAAATAAAAGGTGTATTTCTTTATTAAAGACTACTTCCGTCTTCATATTCATTCATAAAAATATTGTTATATATAAGCAGGATAAAAGCTGATAGTTACTATGCTAGAAATAACATATACTACTTGGAAGAATCTATGCAGAAAGGTAATCAATACGCAAAAATGACTACTACAACCATTATCACAAGTGTAACAAAACGTTGCCAGCATCAAACCCATCATTCTTTACGTAAACGTAAGTAAAAAATACCATTACTGTATCAAAAGTAACTCTACGCGAATAATGATGGAACAGTCAATGCAGAAGTTGTAGTAAGAAGGTCTATCCTTGGTAATATCTTAATGACCAATTCATATATGGTGTCGATAAAGTGTTTGCTCATTTAAAACGGCAAACCACTTACTACATTGACAACCATTATACAGCTATGCTTTATTCACGCTCTGCTACAAATATTTATTCTTTAAGGCTTTAATTGAGCGGAGAAAGAGATGAAATTCACGTTGAATTTTTTTATCAGATAATCAAGTTACAATATAAAATGCAATACTTACAGTTTTCCTTATCAGTAAAAGTTAATTTTATTGCGTTGGCAACGTTTGACAATACAATATAAAAGCATTAACATTATCTCTTGCTATATATAGTTAATGGTTATCTTAGTCGAGTAACAACATGGGACTAGGTAGTTGAATAACATTAGATAGGAAGATGGTTGAAGTAAAATACATCGATGCATATCAACTCGTGTCCTTGATAGATTTAAATAAAATAATTTAGCGAATCCTTCTTAGTGCTCGCCTGCAACATGACTTATATATATTCACCTCCAACAGATATATATATATATAATTTTAATACTCTGGTAGCATTTTCATTGTCTTCTCTTAACATATTACTTTGAACACACCAATATCATAAAAGCATTATGTTTGCGCTAGACACAAATTTCAACCTAAAATGTATTTACTTTTTGGACATTGAAAAGAAAAATATGTAGGCAAGTTCATGCTATCGACAGTTGGTGAATCAAATAATATTTTCTTGTTTTGGAAAGTCTTCAGCATTTTTGTGCGACGACCATTGTCATTTATCAACATGACGTTTCCTCAACATGTTGCGGGTCATCGTTTTTTTTCTGATTTGCCATAAGATAAAACAACCTTGATGAATGGCGGGACCATCGCATATATCAGACTTGCTACACTTATCGACCATATGGTTTTAACAATGTTAATGTCATTTATTTATTTTTCTTTGGTGAAAAGGTGACTTCACGGATAGAACGTGTGCCGTTTCAGTCGTTTGTACAATTTGTGCTTTATGGCTGACTTCTATGAAATGAATCTTCTGTTTAAACAAGTGTAAGTTTGAATGTCTTAATTTAAGGATATGTATCTGCCATGAAGACACTTATTACTAATGAAGCACATGACATACATACTTCAACTTTGTGCTCAATTTTCTACATACCATTTTCGAGTAGATCACAAAGTTTAGTGAGCGACAGACACAGCTTGCGTAGACGTATTTTATGTTGCAACTTAACAGTTGTGATGTGGTATATGTTGTAAAAACCAAAAGTTATTTCATTATATTAAATATAGAACTGATTTTTACACGGAACAGTATGTATTGAAAATTGAAATTTTGAAATTTAGAAAATGTTCAGCGTTGTTTTGAACATGATGACTGAACATGATTGATATGTTGGTGTCGAACATGTTTGTATTGTGATGGAAATGTTGTAGATGAGTTTCATTTTGTGAAGACTTTGTATACATATATTCGCATTAAAGTATTTAACTGCCATTTAGTTTGATGTTCCAACACTGTTAAAGATTGTTTAAAGGAGGATAATGCCAGGTTCTGATATAAACACTATAAAAACTTAGCAATGCATATTTTTCATGCTTTTCAAAAGACATATTTATTTATCTGTGTAAAAGTAATTTCATTACATGTACAACTATTTTCTCATATTATTTTATTTATATTGTGATATTTCACATTATCGAGTGAGATAGCGTTCTTGTTGTTATTTATTTCATTTAGAATCACCGTAGTCACGTTTTTAAAATAAATGCATTTATTAACAAGCAAACTCTTTGAGCCGAGTACTGATTATAACTAACACAATAATTGAAGACATAAGGCTTTATATATATATATATATATATATATATATATATATGTGTATATCTGTCATGGTGTAAACAGTATTATTTTCTGTGTACATGAAAAATATTCAGGGCAATAACAGAGCCATAACTCTGTGTTAAAAAGTTATATCTGGACATGCCAATGAGATGTTAATTGCCTTTTTGTATCGGTAGTTCCCATACACTTTTGTTGAAATCAGTACAGCAGTTGCAAAGAAAGAGCAATATTGCTTTATATGCATACATGATACTACATAACTACTGAAGGGCCATAACTCTGTAATGAAGGGTCTGGTCTGAACAAGGCAACAAATTATGCACATCTCCTCATGATATTAATGTTTCCCATAAATTTTAATTGGATTCCAGCCAGTAGTTGCAGAGAAGTAGCGGGGAAATAATTATAGCTCTATATGCATAACTAATCAAGGGCCATAACTCTGAGTTAAAGTGTCTGATCAGAACAAGCAGAAGATATGCTCATCTCGTCTTGGTATTGAAGGTTCCCATAAAGTTTCGTTGAATTTCAGCCAGTAGATGCAGAGAAGTAGCGCGGAAATAATTTTGCTCTATAAGCATAATGCAAAACAAATTAAAGGCCATAACTCTGAGTTGGAACAAGCCGACGACATGCGCATCTTCTCTTAATATTGATGATTTCCATAAAGTTTCGTTGGATTCCAGACAGAAGTTGCAGAGAAGAAGCGTGGAAACGTTTATTGCTCTATATGAATACTGCATAACTAATCAAAGGCCATAATTCTGAGTTAAAGAGTCTGACTGGAACAAGCCACCGATATGCGCATCTCCTCTTAATATTGATGATTCCCATAAAGTTTCATTGAAATACATCCAGTAGTTGCAGAGAACTAGCGCGGAAACAAAATTCGGACGGACGGATGGACGGACGGACGGACGGACAACGCCAAAACAATATCCCCCTTCCGATTTCATCGGCGGGAGATAACAATAATAGCAACGTTAAAATAAAAAATTACCGAAAAAAAAAACGCTACTCACCTGTACAAAACAATATATAAAAGGTATACTGTTTAAAATGCATACTTCTTTATACACAACAGTCCACTCGATATATAGCGTTTCAATAAATTCCAAAACATCTTTTAAATAATTCCAGCCGTGCCACGTGCAAGGTTTAGTTTGCATTCTATTGGGTACTTAAACTTGCTTGCATTAAGGATATTGCATGACAAAGACATGAAAGTATCTTTTGTTACATTTAGCAATTAATTTGATTAAAGCAATAAAATCAAAGTGAAAACATATTCATTCTTTCTTTTTAACTGTCCATATTCTGGTAGTCATTTATGAAAAGCCATTAACGAATAAGTTTTTTTAGGTTGTACAAAGTGCTGGAAAAGCAAAGCAAAAATTACTAAAACCATTATGATTTTATTATGATGTCTTTTATATTTTCATCTTTTTTCTAAGACAAAATTTCTTTGTTATTTGCTAGTTGGTTATTTCTTTTACAGTGTGTGTAAGATGAAAACAGAATTAAAATTTCTGGACTTTGAATTAAAATTACAAAAAACACGTTTTACTTTATGAGTGTTTTTGAAAAACTTACATTTGATAGTATTGACTAACGTTCCTTTAATTTGCTCATTTATTTATTCCTTAAATTCTTTGTGACATATTACTTCTACTAAATGTAAAACCGAGAGGTGATTTATAGGTGCATTTACATAATTGATATAAATTTGCTCATATATCAAACAAGGTTGCCATTGGCGCCAAAGCGCTCAGCCAAAGACATACTGTTTTTTGTATAATGGTAAATATTGACACTGGAGGCAAACTTTGAATGACTTTGGTAGAGGAATTAAATACATGTTATTTTACACCAAATATCAAAGCTCAAAGCCGTGTACCTTCATAAAAGAAGAATTTATAAGTTTTTTACTATAAGTAAAAATGAAAATAAATGACCCCCATCCCCTCCCCGCAATTTTGACCCAAGGACTATAATGTTTCAGGGGAGATATTATTTAGGAAAGATGTGTTGTTGATTCGTGTTGTCGTGTTGA